CTCCTCCTCCTCCTCCTCCTTCACCACCTACTACCTCTTCGTGAATCGTAGTTACGATGACCATGAAAATCTTCCATTATATATTTCACTTGTACTCACCTTTAATCATTTTCATTTGCATTATCTTCTTATTACGTGTTCTTTATTTTTGTTTACTTTTTTAATAATAATAATAATAATAATAATAATAATATATATTAATATACTATTTATATATTATTATTATTACTATTAATATATACTATTAATTACTACTTACTAATTATTACTTAATTATTACTACGTACTAATTAAATACTATAATATTATTAATATATTATTATATATTATTATATTATATTATATTAATAATAATATATACTATATTTTATATTTTTTTATTATATATATATATATATATATAATAAATACAGTTATACATAACAAATATAGTTTCCTACGTTTTTAATTAGAATTCGTAATCTTACCTCCACTCTACTTCGCGTGTAACAATTTAAAATTAACATACATTTAATTTAAGATAAATCACAAATAAATAAAATAAAAAAAGAATTAAATTAAAACAAAAACCAAAAAAAAAAGAAAGCAAATTTTTACATATAATAATTATTAAACAATTTAAAAATCAAAAGCATAACACACACACACACAAATACTAAGTATTAATTGAAATATCTCCTAAAGTAATATTATTATTATTATTATTATTATTATTTTGTTTGTATCATTATATTTGTAAAATGAAATACAAATGCATGCATCATGACTCGTATATTTTCCTCCTATATATATGTATATATATTTATGTATATATATAAATGTATATACCTGGAGAGTAATTGGAAAGCACTACGATGTATTTGCAAGATTATCACGAATCAATCGTTATCTTGTCTAATTTTGGATTTATGCGTGTACTCTAGTATTTTCCATCCCATTACAGATCGAAAGTACCATAGAATAAAGTGGGAGGATACATTGGTGTAACCTAAATAGATACTACATCTTTAGTAAGCATCATCATAAAAGATCTTTTGTACTTTTACTAGAATCGTTAATAACTTCTACTACTATCATCTCTTTATCGTATTTATTTATACATTCACTTATATTATATTATATTATATTATATTATATCATATGATTTTATAAAATATAATAAATTATCACAATGAATTCAATCAAAATTCATCATATACAATATTATAATAAGACTGTAATTATATAAGTAAAAATAAACAACATATTGGCTTATTTTAATTATGATTGCCAATTGATGATCGTAGTTCTTGATTAAATGCCAACTGTTAGAAAATAAATAAACTAACAGATGTATTCTGAGAAAGTAATGTTTTTTTTTTTGCCTTCTTTTGTTGTTGTTATTTCATCATTGTCTTTTGAAATTATTCAAACAGATATATTATTTTTTTTTTTTTTTTTTTGTAAATTATTTCAATGAGTCAGACATATTTCATTCGTTTTGAAAAAATAGTATTCTGATAAAATGAACATCTTGGATAAATTATTTAGAAGGATAATTACTATTAAATGATTTGATCATAGCTAATTGTTATTAGAATATTTTTTCAAGGATTTTTTTTGTAAGTTCTTAAATGGATGGATTAATGAAAGGTGGTATATGGTTGTGTATATGCAAGAAAGTACCATTCGTCCAGTGTAGGTCAGTGGAACGGGCTTTATCGTGTCGCAGTTTGTACTTCCATTATCGCGAGAACTTACTTAAGTTTTGTATATACATCATGATGCACACGAATAAAATCTCTCCCATCGTATTAAATGTAATAATATTAATAGAAAAACCTTTATATATATATATATATATATATAGGTATAGGTATATAAAAATTGTAATAATATATACACAGAATACAATAATTTATCACGAATTTCATTTTATTTCACAGTCACGATGATTATTATCATTTTGATTATAAAAAATTAAAAGTAAAGAATAAATTAAAAGTTAAAATTAAAATATAAAATAAAATATATATATATGTATATATTGTCGAAGAATTATAATTATAAAATTATAAATTCGTAATTCGATTGTATCATTTTTTAAAACAATAATTTATACTAAATCATTATTTTATTTTTTTTTATTTTTTTGGNATTCTATAATTATTTTATATTTAAATTATGTTTACAATTTTTATTTTATATTTTTTTATATTTAAATTATGTTTACAATTTGTATTTTATATTTTTTTATATTTATTTTATATTTATTTTATATTTATATATTTTTATTTTATATTTAAATTATGTCTACAATTTGTATTTTATATTTTTTTATATTTATTTTATATTTATTTTATATTTATTTTATATTTAATTTATATTTAAATTATGTTTTAATTAAATTATAATAAATATAATTAATTTAATTATTAATTTTTTTTTATATTATAAACCGTATTATCTTAATTACTTATTTAATTACAATTATCAATTCATATTATACACATTATAAATATAATT